GCGCGTGCGTGCGTGTGTGTGTGTGTGGCGTGCGTGCGTGCGTGCGTGCGTGCGTGCGTGCGTGCGTGCGTGCGTGTGTGTGTGTGTGTGTCCCAAGGCCCCATTCAAAGTAGTGGCAGTCTACAGCTCGATTCCTCTTGAGCTGCAGACCTGTCTGGTTTCTAGGGTCACGGCGTACCAAAGGATGCCACCCGGGATTTTGACAGGAGGGGGAGGAAGGAGAGAAAACATGAAGCAACGAGGATGGAAGAGGGCCAACAGCGCCCCAGACCCATCCAGCCAGGTGCCCCCTTCTCTACCATGTTCCCCCTTCCCTGTTCATCCTTCCTCCTCCCTCCTTCCCATCGGCCCATCCCTTGTCCACTTCCCCATGTCTCTTCACTCCTCCTCATTTCTTGAATTTGTGTTTCTCCTCCCTCCTCCCTCCCCCCCTGCCTACCTGGGTGCCTTACTGTGGGAGAACGTACTGTCCTTGTGTCCTTGGTGCCCGTGCAGCAATTTTTAGCCTGCTAGCTGCAGCGCCGTTCCGTCTCGACAAGCCGCACGCTTCAGCGAGGCGCCGATCCAAAAACCCCTCCCTCCCTCCCTCCCATCCATCCCTCCGCACGCGACCCCATGTCCCTTCATTCCCCATGTCCTTCGTTCCACCTGTCCATCCATCCATCCCTTGTCCACTTCCCCATGTCCCTTCATTCCTCCTCATTTCTTGTGTTTGTGATTCTCCTCCCTCCTCACCCCCATCCCTCCCTCCCTCCATCCCTCCCTCCGCACGCGACCCCCCAGAGGACGCCGCCTACCTGAGGCGCCACCAGGAGCGGCTCGAGATGGTGGCGACCCGCTGCGTGAACCAGGCCCCCTGGCCGCCCCCGGCAGGCTGTCCAGCCGGCGCGGCGGGGGCGCCTCCGGCCGCGGCCACCGTGTTCCCGCCTTCGTTGCTCCGCTCACGCTGCGGAAGGCCGAGGACCACGGATTTGAGGCGGAGGGGGCCTACGAGGACGAGGAGGAGGAGGAGGAGGAGGAGAAGGAGGAGGAGGAGGAGGGGGAGGAGGAGGGGACCTACGAGGAGGAGGAGGAGGAGGAGGAGGAGGCGGAAGAGGAGGACCAGACCTGGGGCGAGAGGGTGCCCGCGGGCCTTGACCGTGGCAGGAGTCTGTGCTGGGCCACATGAAGTGATATCGAGATTCGGCCCTCTGAGTCCCCCGAGCTGTCGAGCTCACACATGTGCTGATCGTGAGCTGTCTGTCAAAGTCTTGTGGGGCAGGTCACTACCCCATTTGGTGTCATGCGTGTCTCAGGGGGAGGAGGACAAGTGTGAACTTGAGACGCGACAGCGATATTGCAATAAGCCATATCGCAAGGCTCCCTCTTCACAAGGCCCAACAAGATGTGTTCTTCAGTGCGGGGAGAAACCATTGGAAAACAATTATCTGAGGATCCTCCATCATGCCAAACCACCATTGTTGGGGTCCCCGTTTCTCGAATCAACTTGATTGTTACGTCCTGACGATCCTAGAACGTGCCAGAACGAACACCGCTCTGGGACATCAACACCGCGAATCAACAATCTTGCCAGAGCGCCATTCCTGGGACGTCTTCGACCATGTCAATCCTTGAAGCCGCTGCGATATTTTAAGCGCGGCGTTAAGGCGAGAGCCCCACCTCCGCCCCGAGAGAAATTGGCGGCAGCCGTGAAATGGCTCAGGCGCGAAACGTGTTGGAAACGACCCGACCCCCCCATCCGTGAAAGTGTTGCAGACGTTTAGGGTGAATGCGCGCGGCGCTCCTACGAGGCCCACGTTCTGAGAGCGGCCCGCGCGCCCTCCGCGAAAAACGGTCGCAGATGCATGTTCCAAGCGAAGGCGCGCAACGCTAAAAACGAGAGCTCCGTGTTGCAAACGGGCTGCTCCCCATCCGCGAAGCTGCTGCTGATGCGCAGCTGCGGGATCCGGAGCGGCGGGGGAGTCTCGGGCGACGCGCCCCGCCCACCCTGCCGACACGCCTGGGGGAGCGACGGGGAGGAGGTCAGGGAAGAGGAAGGGGGGGAGGAGGGCCGATGCCACGGGCGCGTGCGCCCAGCGGCTGGAAAAGCAGGGGGAAGAGGAGAAGGAGGCGGAGGAGGAGGAGGAGGAGGAGGAAGAGGAGGAGGAGGAGGAAGACGAGGAGGAGGAGGAGGAGGAGGAGGAGGAGGAGGACGAGGAGGAGGAGGAGGAGGAGGACGAGGACGAGGAGGAGGACGAGGAGGAGGAGGAGGACGAGGAGGAGGAGGAGGACGAGGAGGAGGACGAGGACGAGGAGGAGGAGGAAGTGGAGGAGGAGGACGAGGAGGAAGAGGAGGAGACGGAGGTTTGGCGAAGTGTTCTGTGTAAGTTGATTGAGTGACGAGCGCACCAGTCCGAACCAGGTCGGGCCCAGGCCCCACTGCGAGTTGGGCTGTGCGGGCGTACGTCACCATGCGGGAGGCGCTGCTGAAAGAGCAGGGGTGGAGTGCTACCCTCCCCTCGGCGCGATTGGAAAGCAAAGCGGGCGCGTGGTGAACAGGCCATCCGAGGGCCCGTCTGCACAACCAAAACACAGGCGCTGGAAGACAGCGCTCTGTGGCGTGCGCGCCTCAGTGCCTCAGTGAACCGTGGCGCCGCCTTGGGGCATCCCCCGCGGTGGCCCAGCGTGACAGCTACGGAGCAGGTGCCAACTGCTCTCGCAGCACACTGGGGAGAGAGGAATATGGTCCTGGTGTGCTGAGCGGTGAACGCCGATGTAGATTCCCGGGTGTGAAATCCCAAGAGAAGCGGTAGGGCGGAAGGCCCATTGAAGACCAGTCCATGCGACCTGTCTTCGGTGTGGATAGGAAGGCTTGAGCAAGGTGGTGTGCTCGCTGCTGCACCGCAGTGATGCTAGCGATGAGGGCCGTTTCGCGATCGCGCTCTGACTGTTGCCGTGCAGCTTCGAGGTGCTGCATGATGGATGGCCTTCGGCCCGTTCGCTGCGTCACCGTGTGACCGCGGCCTACTCCGCCTCGGGATGAAAGAGAACCGCTGTTCCCCGTACCCTGGTGGGAGGGGGAAACGATTTGTTGGTCGGGTAGATTGCCTGTAGAGGCCGGGTCCTGCTGGACGTCCGCCGCAGAGGCCTGACTGTTTTAGAGTCTGGGCTGATGACAGGCTGTGTTTTCGTCGTCCTCGTCGTGCCCGTGACTCGTGTGACCTCTTGGTCGAGTCGTCGTCGAACAAGGACGCTCCGAGCCCCAGTGGGTCCTGACCTCCGCCGTCGATGTGGGGTGGGGCTCCCCAGGTATCGTCGAAGCAGTCAAAGCCTGGTGGCCCGTGCGGCCGAGTGGGGTTATCCGGTGAGGCTGGTGGCTCGTGTGTGCCTTGCCCTATGGTGAGCGGTTTGGGCTTCGCCCTGCTGAGTTCGGCCCCAGAGTAGCCCGCCCGTCGGTCTGGCACGGGAAGAGAGTGGTGGCGCTGGTCCTAGATCGCGACGGCGGTGCTGCGCCACACCGCCGTGGATGCGTGCTGACAGTCGGTTGCATCGAGGAGACGCGGCTGCAACTCGCGCAGGCGTGCCCCGGCAGCGGCGAGCTCGCTCGCGTGACGGTCGAAAGCGTCAGCGATGAGTGTGATGGGGGCTTCGTGTATGCCTTATTCGCCGAGGTGACCTTCGATGGTTTGACCTTGAACATGTCTGGTTTGGCTTGATGCACGCGATGTATATTCTGCAAGAGGTCAGCCGCCCAGCCCCCGTGTTTTGCGGTGGCTTCCTTTTGAGAAGGTCCTCGGATCCGTCGACAGCGGCACGGTTGTCGACGGAAGCATGGACAGGCCGCTTCTCGTTAGCCACGGGGCGGAGCATGGCGAGCGCATCCGCCCTATGTGCGGATTGGTCCCAGCCGCGCACCCAAGCTGAGTGGTTAAACCGGTGACCCGGCCCGCAGTAAATCGGAAATTGGAACATATACATTACCAGTGGCGGGCTGTTTTTCAATCCCAGGACCTTTTTGAGGGTCGGGGACGACGTCGGGGTCGTGTGGTGTATGCTGGTTCCCGCATTCTCCAGGGGAAACAGCGACAACTGTATACACCAGGATCCCGTATACACCAGGATCCCCTTTCCTGCGCGAGTTTCGGTGCGGAGCCAGAAAAAGCTTCGGTGTACATATATATATATATATATATATATGTATATATATAGAGAGAGAGAGAGAGAGAGAGTTCGGTTCCCTAGCAAACTCCGACCATTGCCCTTGTCGAGGATCGAGCGGACCTGCTGCGTTCAGAGACCGTCTGTGGAGGCGTCTTCCCGCCTGGCCCCGTCTCGTCTTTGTATTATTAAGTCGGGCCTGTCCCTCTACAGGGGGAATATTTAAAAATAGTTTTTAAAATAGTCTGGGGATTATTTGTTGACCATTTTTTGACCATTTGGGGGCATTTTGAGTGTATTTTCAATTTGTCGCCCAAAATCCCCCTGTAGGGGGACAGGCCCGACCGAAGTGTACTCCTCGAAGCGATCGCCCTCGGGGCCCGCGGGAACGGGCCGCGGGCTTGGCTGTGGGAGCTCGCCTGGTGTGAAGTCTGGCTCGGGGGTCCAGCAGTCGACTTGGCATCGCTCGGACGTGTGCATTTCTCCTTCGGCGGGGACCATCGAGGAGCACCCTTGATCACTTGGCGAGAAAACCACGCACGAAACCGAAAAAAAAAACACAGGGAATGGACGCCCGAGCGATGGCCAGTTGAGGATCTCCCTCCCGCCGCTCGGAGTTCCTGGTGCGCGGCGGGAGGTCCCTCCACTGCCGGCCCGTGATCACATACTTGCCCAGGCGGTCTTCGCCGGCTCGCAGCACGGGCATTTCCAGGCCGTGCGTTTTTGTGTTTCCTCCTCTTGGTCAACACCATCTGCACAAAGGAGATGGGTAGGCCGGGATGCCCGCGCGGACTGTTTCTTGCTTCGTGGGGCCACCCCCCCCACACAGGCAGTTGCAGAAACGACGACGAGGAAGAGGAGGACCGACGCCACCAGTGTGTGTGCGCCCAGCGGCCTTCCTAAGGAAGAAAGACGGACGAGGAGGAAGAGTAGGAGGAGGAGGAGGAGGAAGACGGGGAGGAGGGGAGGAGGGGGAGGAGTAGGAGGAGAAGGAGGAAGGGGAGGAAGACAGGGAGGAGACGGAAGCTGAAGAGGAAGAGGAGGAGGAAGAGGAGGAGGAGGAGGAGGAGAAGAAGAAGTAGGGAGGAGGAGGAGAGGGAGGTTTGGTGAAGTTCTTCGCGAACAGCGAGCCACCCCACCTCGCCAGGAGGAGAGGAAGGAGGAGGATAATGAGGACCGACGCCACTGGCGTGTGTGCGCCCAGCGGCTTGCCTAAAAAAGAAGGAAGAGGAGGAGGAGAGGAGGAGGAGGAGGAGGAGGAGGAGGAGGAGGAGGAGGAGGAGGAGGAGGAGGAGGAGGAGGAGGAGGGGGAGGAGAGGGGGAGGGGGAGGAGGAGGAGGGAGAGAGGAGGAGGAGGAGGAGGAGAGGGGAGGAGGAGGAGGAGGAGGAGGATTAGGAGGAGGAGGAGGAGGAGAGGAGGGGGAGGAGGAGGAGGAGGAGGAGGAGGAGGAGGAGGAGGAGGAGGAGGAGGAGGAGGAGGAGGAGGAGGAGGAGGAGGAGGAAGAGCACGTCACCGGCCGGCTGGCTCCACATGCAGGATGCTGGCGCCCACGGGGGAGCCGGCGCGAGGGCGGGCGGCGTCCCTGGAGGGCGGGGGCCTCCCTCGGAGGGCCCCCGCCGGCCTCCGGGACGCCTTCTCGGAAGCCGCCGAGCGCTTTACGTGACGTGTGGGGCCAGGAGGAGGAGGAGGAGGACGAGGAGGAGGAAGAGGAGGAGGAGGAGGAGGAGGAGTAGGAGGAGGAGGGGGGACGGCGGGGCGAGAGGCGACGACGGCGGCGGCGGCGACGGCGGCGGCCGCGGCGGCAGCCGCCGGGCGCTTTACGTTACGTGTGGGGCCAGGGCCAGGAGGGACCGCTCCTGTCGGGGGCGGAAAAGATGGGGGTGATGACTGGGGGGGGGGGAGATCATAGCGTGGGCCATGATATTTCCCCAGATGGCATGGCGCCTCTTCTTGTTCAATTGCGTCCCTGGGCCGCGCACAGGCCGCCGGCCATGATTTGCACCCCCCCTCTCTTGGACACTCCCCTCTTGGCCGCTCCCGATCCTGAACAACGGTCACCGCAGCTCGTCGAGTTGCGTGGTCTCCTCACACGCCTACGGATTTGGGGCACGGCTTGGTTCTACCCCCCTCAGGCGTTTGAAGAGGGCCCCCTGCCTTCCCCAGAGAGAGCCCAGCGCCTTCTCAAAAGCCCACCCACCTCCCCTCGCGCCCCACCCCTTGTGGGCGCCGCCAGCGAGACAGGCCTGGGCCCGACGGGGCCTCAGAAACGCTGCGGCAGGCGCGCGCGCGCGCGCAGCCTCCCCGCCCGCTCCGCCCCGCCCTCGCGGGAGGTCCTCGTCAGCCGGCCGCCGGACCCGTACTTCGCCATGCTCGATATGCTCGACGCGCACACGAAGGACTGCCGGGCCAGGCAGGAGGACGTCGCAGGCCGCAAGGCGTTCCACCTCGAGAGCGCCTGTGGCGCGCGGAGGTGCTTTTTTTGTGGTGCGGCTGTGTGGGTGGCGCGGCGGGGTTCCTGCAACTCGTCTTGCTCCTCCCCCCATCCACCTCCTCCCAGCACGATGGAAACGTGCACAGGAATTACTTGGACTCGCCGAGGGCGTGCACCTCGTCTTGCTCCTCCCCCCTCCACCTCCTCCCAGCACGATGGACATGTGCACAGGAATCACTTGGACTCGCCGAGGGCGTTCTGCTACTCGCCAGGTGCCTACTCGCAAACGTCCGAGAAAAACAGGTCTTCCTCGATGTCATGGATCGTAAATCCCCGCGGCGGGTCCAGGCCATTTGCGAGCAGCTGCTGTGCAAGTCGTGGAACGCGCTTGTCCAAGGGCGAAGACACAAACAGCAGTTCCTGCCTTTTTTGCATCGGACTCGCTGTCGGCGAGGCACCAGGCGCCTGCCTGACAGCGGCCGCAGTTGGCTTTGGACAACAGGACAATCTCCGCTGGTGGGCATTGTACAGTGTCCGCCGTTCCAACAGTAGGGTACTGTCTTGGATCATATTCCGCATCGCCTAAGCTGCACGGAACAGTAGCGTTGATCCAATCATTTGGCGACGAAGCGATGATCAATTACAGAACGTTTTTGGTGCATGCTCCGCGCGCGGACCATGTATCAAAAGTAAAGGGTTGATTAACAAATACAAGGATGAGTTCATGCTGTAATTTATTCATCAATTAATCATGTATTAAAATTCCTATATATCTATACAATAAAAAAATCATATGTATTAAAACCTGCCCTGTATACACCAGTTTCGAGACTTATGTAATGTTATTTCCAATGCGGCACGGCTGGAGCGTATACGTGCGAGCGCGGTCTGATGCCAGCGACTCCGCACAATGCAACCGCACTGGATTCTGAGCAGGGCGGCGACGGGCACACGAAGGTCGGCAGCGCAAGCGCGACCAAGCAGACGAGGGCAGCGAGTGGTGAGACGATCCGCGAGAGCAATCGGGGGAGGAGCAGCATCCGCTCCAGCCCAGAAGACGTGGCCTCACTCGGGTCCCCGTCTTTTGTGCTGGGGATGGTGGTTCTCGGCGGCACGGTGCGGCACATCTGCAGAGAAGACCCCCTCTACCCCCATAATGTTGTTCGACCTTCCTAACCCAGGTCCCCTCCCGAAGGGGTTGGGTTTTTTTGGGGGTGAACCACCCATGTGGGGCGCAGCTGCCTCGATACGCCTGTTTTGGGACGCAGCACGTCCCGTGTTCAAGACGTCCGCGTGGATGCGTTGCGTGCTGGATCCACGTGTTTGCCCACGTTCTGGCGAATGCATCGCCTCGGACCTGGACGACGACGACGCGGACGACGACGTGGACGACGACCACGACGACGACGACGACGACGACGACGACGACGACGACGACAACGACGACGACGATTACAAGCGGTCGGTCTTCGTCGACAGACCAGCCACCAGCTCGAGCTCGAGGCCGCGGGGCAGGAGGGGGACGAGGATAGAGGATGGAGGGGGAGGGGGGACGAGGAGGGAGGAAGGGCGGGGGCGAGGAGGGAGGAAGGGGGGGGGCGAGGAGGGAGGAGGGATGGGGGCAGGAGGATGGAGGAGGATAGGGGTAGGAGGGAGGAGGATGTTTCCCCAGTAGCGTCTCGCTGCAGAGGGCTCGAACGGTGAAACAAGAGAGATCACGAAGAGTCCCGCAAGGGGAGGACGGGGGGCGCTCCCCCTGGACCGTGGAGTCCGGCAGCCGTGTCGCTCGAACTGCTCTTACAGCTCATTTTAATCCCTTCGCTCCTTCCGCCGGCCCTGGCCGCCGGGGACCCGGCCGGGGGTCCGCCGGGGTACTTTTCGTCCGGGGGCCCCCGGGGGCCGCCCCGCGCGCGCGAGCTGGAGACGTTGTGAAGCAGTTACCGGAGATCTTAGCACGCCTCGGGCCCGTGGGGCCGGCGAGTTCAGGAATCGTGCTCTCGCCTCAGTGCCAGCTGCGCGTCTGGCCCGCATGGCCACGAGCTTTTCTGTAAAAAGTTTGCACTGAGGTGCAGATGGCCGTATTCTCACCCGTCCATGGCCCGCCTCTTCACCTCTGTTGTTATCAGGGCTTTTGCTGGGCTAACGCGTGAGACTCCACATCCCAGCGCCTCCAGATGGCCCAGCCAAGACGCATGCAGCTACGGAGGGATGAGCTGCAGGCAGCAGGGGGGAGAAAGAGGAGGAGAAAGGGAGGAGGAGGAGGAGGAGGAGGAGGAGGAGGAGGAATGAGGGGGGAGGAGGAAGGAGGAAGGAGGAAGGAGGAGGACGAGAGGAGAACAGGAAGGAGGAGGGTGGAGGGGAGGAGAAAGGAGGAGGAGGAGGAAGAAAGAGGACGAGAGGGGAGGAGAAAGGAGGAGGAGGATGAGAAGTAGGAGGAAGGAGGACGAGAGATGAGGATAATGGTACTCGCTTCCTGCGCGGTCTTCTGCGGCGCCGAGGAGGCGCCGGGAGACGGGGGGCGAGCGCAACGAAGGTTCAGAGCAGAGCGGAACTGCCCGAGGAGGCTTTCCGAAGTTGCCGAGTATGGGCTTCGGAGGCTGTCGAACGTTTTCGAGACCCTGGATGGTTTCCACCAGCTGCGCCTCGTCGAGGGCGTCCTGGGGGGTGCCCGAATCGGCGACCGCTGGTTTCGCCGACGGCTGGCTTCGCCCGGCTGGTTTCGCCGCCCGGCGACACCAGCTCCGTCGGCGAAACCGGCTCCGTCGGCGAAACCAGCTGCCGTCGGCGAAACCAGCTGCAGTCGGCGGAACTGCCCAACCCGACCCGCCCGCTAGGGTCCGCCCGCCCGACCCGACCCGCCCGTTAGGGTTCGCGCGTGCTCGAACGAAAGCGCACCCCACACTTTAATGTCCCGCCCGCCCGACCCGACCCGCCCGTGAGGGGTCCGCCCGCCCGACCCGACCCGCCCGTTAGGGTTCGCGCGTGCTCGGTCGGCAGCGCACCCCACACTTTAATGTCCCGCCCGCCCGCCCGACCCGACCCGCCCGTGAGGGGTCCGCCCGCCCGACCCGACCCGACCCGCTCGCTAGGGTCTTCCCGCCCGACCCGACCCGCCCGTTAGGGTTCGCGCGTGCTCGGTCGAGCGCGCCCCCACACTTTCATGTCCCGCCCGCCCGGCCCGACCCGCCCGTTAGGGGTCCGCCCGACCGACCCGACCCGTCGCGCCCGCTTGGGTCCGCCCGCCCGACCCGGGTTCGCGCGTGCTCGGTCGAGCGCGCCCCACATTTTAATGTCCCGCCCGCCCGATCCGACCCGACCCGCCCGTTAGGGCTCGCTTCTGCGAAACCAGCGCCGGCGAAACCAGCCGCGGGCGAAGCCAGCGGGGCGAAACTAGCGGGGCGAAACCAGCGTCTGCGAAACCAGCGCCAGCGAAACCAGTTCATGGAGAGATGATGCCCCGAAAACCAAGGGCAACTGCAGGGTGGCCCGGGGGGGCGGGGGGGGGGCAGCGTCGACCCACGATCGCCCAAGGTCGGGGACATGCTGTGGGACGGGGGGGGGCCAAACAGGGGGAGCGCGCCACCTCGAGCAGAGGGCGCTCGTCGACCAGAGTGGCACCCCGCTGACATCTCCACCTGGCCCTGCACCTGGCGAGCCGATGGGCGGACTGGGCCAAAGCCTGGGGACCGAGCAGGCGGCGGGGGGGGGGCCCTCTCCGCCGTTCGGGGCCTGGGTGGCCCCACCTGCCCAGAGGCGCGCGGGCTTCGCCATCGAGAGCGTGTCGCCGGTCCATCGGCGATGCGCTACCTGGGGACCCCGTTAGTAGTAGGGCCCCAGCGCCCCTAGATTGGCCAGAATCACTAAACCAGGTCTGCCGTAGCTGGTGTTTTTTCGGGTGACGGCCGTTCCGGTGAGTGGAAATGGGACGGGGGGGGGGCGCCCCCCGTACAGGTCAACCCAGTTCTACCGACGCCCGACTCTGGGCCGCAGTCCCTTGCCACGTCTTCCCCCCGAGACACGGCCTGCCCCGCAGGGGGCGGGCGGGCTCCGCCCGCCGGCCCGGGGCGTCTGTCGACTCGAGAGCCGCGGAGGCCAGCGGCGCCAAGTCACGGGCACCCGTCCACGCCAGCGTGCCTCTCTGGCGGGCGCTCCAGCGACGGCACGCCTCGCCGAAGTCCAGCCGCAGCCGATCCGGAGGGAGCGGGGAAGTTGGTCGCGGCGCGCCTCCTGGGGCCCGGGGCCGCCACGAGTGTCGGCACGCTCTGTGTTTGGGGGGAGAGAGCCTACGCACGTGCTCTTTGTTGATTGGCACCAACGTTACTCCAGATTTCGTAATAAAGGGAGGGGGATCTCATTTCGGGGGGGGGTCTCTTCCAGGCTATCTTGGAGGGCCTGGGGGGTCCGGGGACGATGTTTTGGAGGGTTCTCCCACGGGGGAGGTCTGAAGTGGCTTGTCTTGGAGGGCCCAGACCCCCTCCCTTTTATTACGAAATCTGGAGTACCCTTTGAGCGATGGGAGACAGCGGAGTCGATGGCGCCGACCTCCGCGCGCAGGCTTCCCGCGTAAGGCCCCGCGCGTAGGCCCCCCCCCTCTCTACTCCGCGCGGGGTGTGCCGCGCCGGCGGCCCGCGCGTGCCGCGGGCGGCGTGGAGTCGCCACCACGTCTTCTCGCGCAGTGCGGCGGCGCGCAGGGAGGGGGGGGGGGGGGGGGGAGGAGTGGGGAGGAGGAGGAGGAGGAGGGGAGGGAGATGAGGAGGAGGAGGAGGAGATGGGAGGAGGAGGAGGAGGAGGAGGAGGAGGAGGAGGCGGAGATGGGAGGAGGAGGAGGAGGAGGAGAGGAGGAGGAGGAGGAGGAGGAGGAGGGGGCCGGGGGGAAGGCTTCGTGGCTTGGCGTCGCTCGGACGTGTGCATTTTCCCTTCGGCGGGGACCGTCGAGGAGCATCCTGGATCGCTCGGCGAGGAAGCCACGCACGAAACCCGACAAAAAAGCGCAGGGAAGGGACGTCCGAGCGATGGCCAGTTGGAAGGAGGCCGCCTCTCGGGAAGGCGCAGAGGGCCCGCAGACGAGGCCCGCGCCTTCTGAGCAGCGGCCTCCCTTTAAGAAGCCCTCCCCCCTCCCCCCTACCCCCCTCTTCCTGCGCGCCGCCGGGTGAGGCCCGCTCCTCAGGGGGGGGGGGAGTAGGGAGCTCCCGAACGAAGTGAACCCCACCCTCCCCCTCAGAAATCGTGGGGGGTAGGGGTAGGGTTCGCAGGTGGCCCCCTTAGGAAGGGGGAGGGGGGGGGAAGGCTTCTGAGCAGCGGCCTCCTCCTGAGAAGCCTTCCTCCCCCCTCGCCCTCATCTCGCCTCCCCCTCTCCCCGCGCGCCGCCCAGGGAGGCCCGCTCCTCAGAAAGGGGTGGGAAGGGGGGAGGGGGGGGGGGAAGGCTTCTGAGCAGCGGCCTCCTCCCGAGGAGCCCTCCCCCCCCTCGCCCTGATCCCCCCCCCCTCTCCTCCTCCTGCGCGCCGCCGAGGGGCAGGCCCGCTCCTCCTCCGCCGCTCCCGCGGGGCAGGCCGGCCGGCCTGCGGCTTGTCGCCGCCCGCCCGCAGGACGGCATCTGCTTCGCCCCCCTGCGCGTGCTCCCCGGCGGCCCCGAGGCCGTGTGCGTCGAGGCGGCCTGCCGGCGCCGCCGAGATCGAGCGCGGCGGGGGCGGGCGGCGCCGCGGGGCCCCCGCCCCCCGGCAGTCGACGCCCGCTGGGGCGTTGGGCGCCGCGCAATTGGGGATCATAAGTGGGGGGGCGGCGAGCGTGGTCCGAAATGGTACCCAGAAATGGTACCTAAACGAGCCCCCATGGGGCCCTGGAGGGGTCCGGAAGGGGCACGCAAGGGGCACGCAAAAATTGTACCTAAACGAGCCCCCATGGGGCGCTCGAGCGCGGCGGGGGCGAGCGGCGCCGCGGGGCCCCTGTTCCCGGCAGTCGACGCCCGCTGGGGCGTCGACTGCCGACGGGCTGCGGATGTGTCTCAGTCAGCGGGCGAAGAACGGTACGAAGTAAACTTTTTCGCCGTCGGGGGCACCTGCCCCAGGGCGGCTGGAAAGTTTAGACCCCTACGGTGCCACCGTAAGGGTATCAACTTTCCAGCCGCCCTGGGGCTGGTGTCCCCGACGGCGAACAAGTTTAGTTTATTCCGTTCTTCGCCCGTTAACTCAGGAGGGAAAAAAAACAGACAGACACGATGAAGCGTCGATCCCCCAGAGAGAATGGAACAATATGGAAGTGGGGGGGGAAGACAAGAGCACAGAAGGTGTGGGAAGATGTGGGGAGTCCTGTCATTTGTGTGTGTTTATGTGTGTGTCCCTGGGGGGGAAGACAACAGCCCAGAAGGTATGGGAAAACGTGGGGAGTCCTGTCATTTGTGTGTCTGTATCTGTGTGTCCCTGGGCCCCTTCACTGTCCCCGGGCAGTCGACGTCCGCTGGGGCGTCCACTGCCGACGGGCTGCCGGTGTGTCGGGGGGCCCCAGACACGGTGCGGTGGCCGCACCGTGCGGTGAGTCGGCTCCTGCGCCTGCCATCGCTCACGGACGTCAGCCTTGCGGGGGGGTCCGGAGAAGTCAGGAGGGGAAAAAACACGCAGACACAATTCACCGGCGATCCTCAGAACATATGGGAAGATATGGGAAGTGGGGGGAAGACAAAAACCCCGAAAATATCGGAAAATATGGGGAACCTTTTTATCTGTGTGTATTTGTTTGTGTGTCCCAGGGCCCCTTCAGTCAGGAGAAGGTGAGCTCGGTTCCTTCGACGCTCCTTGCTCGGGGCCGGATCTGTGTGTTCAGGCACGTGCGTTAACTTTGGCCACGTCCTGAAAGCTCTTCGCCCAAGCCAGTACTTCTCGCGCAATCTCTGTTTTGCTCAGGTTGCCCTTCGCTGAGTCTGACCCTCAGAAGTCTGACCCCGATCAGCAGGCGAATCATCAGTGGGGATTCGGTGACCGCACGGTTCTGGGACTCGCGTCGTTCTTCGAGGGTATCTCGGGCGATTTGCTTCCAAAGTCCACAAACGATGCGGTGACGGGCCGTGCTGTGAGGTCTTTTGGGATTTCGAGGTCACTGCACGGTCTGTTGACTGCACCGTTTCGGGACCCCGAACGTTGCCCAGGGGTTTAGGGTTGGCAAGGTGGCTTGTTCGGTTGGTTGGGCTGAGGCGCAGCTGCGCCGGTGCCGGTCTAAGGGGAGGGCCCGACGATGTTGGGCCAGAGTGCTTCTAAAGCGAGGAGGCCCATGTGGGACATGTCGCGGGTATCTAGTGGCCTTCGACCCATCCCGCCACCGTGCCTGGGTCGTAGACAAGAGGCCTCTTGGATGCCTCTTGGGAGCCTTTTGGGGGCCTGCGATATCTTGGGGTGGAGGGCTCTAATCAAATTGCAGCTCGAGTTCCCCTTTGGGGCCCCACAAGGCCTACTGGGGACCTCTTGGGGGCCACTCGGTTGCTGACAGGGCGGTATTCGCCTGATTGACTTATCTAAGAGCGTTGATTCTACACGATCGCAAAAAGGCGCCAATCATCGTCGATTCCTCATCATTTGAACCCGTCTCTCTCCCTCTCTCTCTCTCTCCGCCGTCCTTCATCGTCTGCATCGATGGCATTTTTGGTTTTGCGTATATGTATGCCGGCCACGCATGCTCGTGGTTCACACCTTCCGCCAGGCTGGTCAATATTTCAAGGGCTTGCCCAGCGGGGGCCTCACCGACATCGAAGTTTCGTTCAAGCTCAGCAGGACACTCCAACCCAAGCGGAGTGGGGTCAAGGCTGTTTTTGATGGTTTCGCGAATTGATGTTGTGATGTTTGGCAGTCGACGTACATCGCAACAACAGTCCAGGCCTCCCAGATGGGGTCGGAGCAGATGGGGCCGGAGGATTGCGCCGCATCGCCGATGCATCGGCGATCTGGCTCGACGCGGAGCCCGATTCTCTCCACGCCGACGGCGCCGATGCATCGCCGACGTCGCCGGTGCAGTGCATCGCCGCTGCATCGGCGGTGCGGCGCGATCCTCCGACCCTTTCTGCTCCGACCCCATTCACAAGGGCGCCCTCGAGGGTGCGAAGTTATTCGCGCTTCGCGGTTCGGCTCCGATTCCTCCCCACCCTCCACTTCTCCCCTGGGAGGCGGCGCGAGAGCGCGAAGTTAGTCGCACTTCGCGCCTCGCGCAGCGCGAAGCGCGAAGTTGGGAGCCCTTGTGCTCCGACCCCATTCAGGAGGCCGCTCAGCGGGGCAGAGGCAGTCCGCACGCGCGCTCGGGCGGTGCGGGCAACGGAAAGCGCGCGCGCATCAACCAGCGGCAGGAGAAGGGGAAGACTGGCGCGGAAGCGGCCACGGGGCGGGAGGAGGGGAGGGGAGGGCGCTCAGGAGGCCTCTGAACATGGACAACAAAGAAACACAACAAAAACATGAAACGTGCTTTCTATATAGTTGTTGCTTGTTGTTGTTATATATATATATATATATATATATATGAGTTTTGAAAGTTTTGCTTTCTTCAACTCTATATATATATATAACCACAACAACAAAAAAACAACAACAAAAAAACACGGAAATGGCCATCCAGCGTGGCGCGGCGCGGTGGGAGCGGGCTCCCGTGTGCTCCCTGCCGGACCGCCGCCGCTCCCGCGGAGGTGGTCGCGCGCGTGCGGGGGTCCACGATGGCCGTACACCGCGTGGAGCTGCCGAAGGTCGCCCAGGGGAGAGCGGCGGCGGTCTCCCCCTCCTCCTCCTCCTCCTCCTCCTCCTCCTCCTCCCCCTCCTCCTCCTCCTCCTCCTCCTCCTCCTCCTCCTCCTCCTCCTCCTCCTCCTCCTCCTCCTCCTCCTCCTCCTCTTGGGCCTCCCGGGCGGGGCCCGAGCAGGCGGGGTCGGAGGGCCCAGCCCCCCTCGGGGCACGACGGGAGTCGCGACGGAGGGCTTTCCGCCAGTTACCGCTCCTGGGGGCCCCGACTAGGCCTCGGGGCCGCCAACAACTCTTGGGGATGAAAAGCCACGGAAGGTTTTCCGCCATTTTCCGCTCCTGGGAACCCTGACTGGGCCTCGGGACCGCCAAAAATTGCCGAGGATGAAAAGCCACGGAAGGTTTTCTGCCATTTTCCGCTCCTGGGGGCCCTGATTGGGCCTCGGGGCCGCCAAAAATTATTGGGGAAGAAAAACCACGGAAGGTTTTCCACCATTTTCCGCTCTAGGGGGCCCTCACTGGGCCTCGGGGCCGTCAAAAATTGTTGGGGATGAAAAGTCACGGAAGGTGTTCTGCCATTTTCCGCTCCCAGGGGCCCTGACTGGGCCTCGGGACCGCCAAAAGTTGCCGAGGATGAAAAGCCACGGAAGGTTTTCTGCCATTTTCCGCTCCTGGGGGCCTTGACTGGCCTCGGGACCGCCAAAAATTGCCGAGGATGAAAAACCACAGAAGATTTTCTGCTATTTTCCGCTCCTGGGGACCCTGACTGGGCCTCGGGACCGCCAAAAACTACCGAGGATGAAAAGCCGGTCCTGGGAATGGGCCGAGACCTTTGGGCGGTCGACGTCATGAGAAAATCATGGCGTCGGGGGTCGGAGGATCGCGCCGCATCGCCGATGCGTCTCTCTCTCTCTCTCTCTCTCTCTCTCTCTCTCTCTCTTCCCCCCCCCTCGCCAGCCTGCGTAGGCACCCGATTGCACTGCAGCCACCACGCACGGGAGTAATCGCCGATGCATCGGTGATGCGTCGACGATGCGGCGCGATCTTCCGACCCCATCCATGCCGATCCCATGCTGGAGGTTTCTAGATCGTGGCAGGGGAGGCGCCAAGGCGATGGGCTCTGCGGCGGCAGTGGCCCATGTGCCAGGGATACCGGGAGGGAGAAGGTGAGTAGAGGATGAGGGGCGCCCGGAGGAAGACGAGGATCATCGAGCCAGGATGATCGGGCCAGAGCCCACTCTATTTCAAGCGCCTTCTTGCTTCAAGAGCCGATGTGCTTCTGCTGTGGTTTGCTATTCTCTGGGAGGACCTGAAAACCCAATGAGTCCACTTGTTTAAGGAGCCGCCACCCATCCCTGTAGCTGGTGCAAGCGTTCAAGACGAGCGTGCGCGGCGCCAGGGCGAGAGCGCCATTTCTTGAAACGGAGCCACCCTCCGTCCGCGCAGCTCCCGCAGAAGTTTAAGACGAAGGCGCGCGGCGCTCCAGCGAGAGACCGCACGTTGAAAAAGGAGCCGCCCTTCATCCGTGCATCTGTTCGGGCAGGAGCCCCATATCGAAAACGAACCCCCTCCATCCTTGGTCATTTTTTCCGAACGTCAAAGCTGTAGGATAGAAGGGCGAACCCCCACCCAGCCCGCCCCTTCGACGTGTCTGGTGGGTGCGGCAAAGGTGATATGCCATGAGCGGGAATGGAGGAGGAGAGGTGGAGGTGGGGAAGAAGAAAGGGGAGTATGAGAAGGACGAAAGGAGGAGGAGGAGGAGGAGGAGGAGGAGGAGGAGGAGGAGGAGAGGGGGAAGGAAGTGGAGGAGGAAGCGGAGGAGCGAACTAGCAGGAGGGACGAAGGAGGACGTCAGGCCACACCCCCACGACCTCGTCCACCGCCTTCCCTTCCTCCCTCCCTCCCTCCCTCCCTCCCTCCCTCCTCCTTTCCCCGCGGCGACACAGCCAGCAGACCGACCTTCAGGGCCAGTTCCTTTTTCCCAGAAGTAAGAACTCCCAAGTGCAAGCACTGCTTGGGGAATAACGATAACGAACGAGAATGGCAACGAATTCCCTGATCCCTCGCGTTGTATTTGAAGATCTCTGAGAAGAGTGGTGACCGCGTTTCTGTTCGGCCTCGCTCCCACTCGGGCCGTGGCCGTGTCGCTTGCTTCTGGCATCAGCGCGCCTTGAGCCTCCTCCCCCGTCCTCCCCGCGACTTCCTCCTACTTCCCCCTTCCTCCACGGCCTCCGCCCGCCTGCCCCCTCACCTCCCTCCCGCCTCCTTGCCCCCTCCCCTCCGCCCCCCCCCCCTCCCCCAGCGGGGGGGGGAACCCATTCCGGGCTGGAGCCCTGGCACGCGGCAGAGAGGGCGGGGGGCCCAGACATCCGGCGTCTCAATTTGTTCGACACACGCGCCCCCGACCCCTCGACCATGTCCCCCTGTGTTCCGTCGCGAGTCGTTCCTTGACGGCCCCGAGGCCCAGCAAGGGCCCCGAAGGGCCGAAAACGATGGAAACCTCCGTCTCGATGTTTTCGAACCACCACGGCGTCTGGTTCGGTAGCAAATCATGGGAGCCGTGTGTGTCCTCGGAATGCCGTCTTCAGAATGCACTAGCGTGCGCTAGCGTATGATAATCGAAGAGACAGCGCCGATGTAGCATCGACTCGCGTCGATCTAGCGTCGATTAGCGTAGATTCAGCGTCGACGAGCGTCGAGCCCCCAAAGCCAGCAGGATGGCATGGGAGGCCCCCATGAGTTGCCACAGCAGTCTCGGGAGGAGGAGGAGGAGGAGGAGGAGGAGGAGGAGGAGGATAATGAAGAGGAGCAGGAGGAGGAGGAGGAAGAGGAGGAGGAGGAGAAGGAGGGGGAGCAGGAGGAGGAGGAGGAGGAGCAGCAGCACGAGGAGCAGGTGGAGGGAGGCGAGGGGAGGAAGGAGGCTCCGTAGCCATTTTGGCTCAAGCCATTTTGGCTCAAGTAAACCATTTCCTCGAGGTGGTTGAGTGACCAAAGTTGGAGTGCACCACAGGTGGCTGCCCCGCCAGGTGCACATCCGATACCCTTTTTTCACTTTCACATATCACATTCCGCTTACTGTGGGGCGCCTACGTTGCGTTCCTGGAGTGAGCACCTTTTTCCTTGTACGACCAGCCACCTGCTGGCTTCTCGCCGATGGGAGGAGATTCTTGGCGCAAGGATGCCAAGTGGACGTGCGAAGCATGTGGCTGCGGGAAATATACGTATGACATGTGGAGTTGCAAGCATTGCAAGAGACACTGGAGTAAGGTTTGGAGTCCTGGGTCCCAAGCCAAAGCAGATCAAGCGGCAGCCGACAAGAAAAAGAAAGGCGCAAATGATGGCAATAAGTTGGTTTTGGCTGATAATGTTGCCCCTGCTGGGCCTCTTCCATCGGTCGCCACCATGTCAGAAAGTGAGGTCCAGCAACTCATTGGTCTGGCAAGGAAGTCTGGCAATAACCAGGTTGCTAAACAATATGAACTTGCATATGCCGCAACACAGCCTTCTCTGCCCGATCCTCCCAAAGTACGAGCTGACAAGGCCAGTCAAGACATCAAAAAGCTGGAAAAAATGAACTCACAGAACAGTGTGACCAACTTGATACGCTGCAAGCAAGGTTGGCTGCACAACGTGACAAGGTGGCCGACATCCAGCAGAAATTGCAGAAGGCTGACGAGGTCTACACGGAGGCCATTCTGGAGCTCCACGCGGAGGTGGCTAAGAAAGATGAAGCTAAAGAGCGGCCCTCCATCAGCCTGGAAGACCTTCTGGACGGTACGGCAGATATCACATTCAGTGGTGCAGCAAGCCTGTTTGGCCTTGCTAAATATGAAGACGTGGCGGCCGAAGATATCAAGCAAGCAAAAGATCGCGAAGCTCGACTGGCGCGAGAACTCAAGACTATTGCTACCAACCTCTTCGGACAAGCCCGCGACAAAGCCAACGCAATCAAAGCGGAGCACGAGAAGCTCAAAGAAAGACTGGTTGGAAAGAAAAGGAAGACAGAAGACGGTGAAGGTGGTGCCCCAGGAGCCCCCCCTGCAGGAGGAACTGGAGGAGCTCAACCCGACGCTCAAGGTGGTGGAGGTACTGGATCCAGTGGCCCTGGAACAGGTAAAGACCATCAGCCTCCGCGAGTTGGCGGCATCATCGGCATCGGGAAAGGAAAAGGAAAGACTATTGGTGAAGGCGGTGGCCCCAGAAAGAGAGCTACTACACTCCTGGCTGGGCCAAACACGCCAAGTGTTTAACATGAGCAAGCAGGCCAGCAGTGGCCCCGCCCCTGCCTATGCTGGTCAACGTGAAGGGGCAATTCAATGTTGTGAGGGATACGTCGGCGTCGGAGCGCACCCCTCTGGGGTTCAGCGTCGCCGCTGGCGTGACCCACCGTCCAGGGGGCCTGGGTTGGAGCACGCTCGCTCAGGCTCACCTTCAGCGGCGGCGGGCGGGTCAGGTTTTGCCGCCTCGAAATGCCGACGGACTGACATGTACTCATTCGAAGTCATCGGTGATAAGATTCCTTCGTCTGAGGATCTTGTTTCTTGTCTGACCGACTGGGAGAAGATGATGAGGACGAATTCTGATGAAGCAGTGTCCGTGATCAAACAGCGCTGGGCCATTTTGCGAGATCAGCTCCAAGGTGGTCAAGATCTGGCACTGCGTCTACACCCTGAAGGGCAGTTTCGAGCTCGGCGGCCTGCGCGTGCCCCTGAGCCATCCCGGCCTGCTCGAGGCCACAGTCAGGAGGTGCGCCCTGCTGCCAACAAGTTTGGGATCGCGAGCTGCAACGCCAACTCTTGGAAGACGGCGAAGCAGCTGCTAGCCCACTTGTCGACGCTCGGGGACATCGTGTGTATTCAGGAGCATAGGTTGATTCAAAAGTTCCAGGATGTTTCAGAAAGACTTCAGAAGCAAGGCTGGAAAGTTTTCGGGTCCAAGGGACTCAGGCTACCGTCCAAGAAGGTCTCGGGAGGCGCCATGATCCTGGTCAAGGGCCACTTGGAGGCCTGGAGTCCAAACCCTGAACTGGTTCCAGGTCGACTGTGTCAATGTTTCGTCCAGCATGGGGCACTGGGGATCTTGAATGTTTTCTGCGCGTACCTCTACGACAGCGAGGGGCTTTCACCCAGAAACATAGGCATCCTGGAGGCGTTTGGGACAGCAGCTGCTCAAATGGGTTTCCCGTATGTATTAGCTGGTGACTATAACGCTAGCCCGCACACGCTGACTTTAAGTGTCCCACCCCACGTCATCAAGGGGGCGGTGCGAGCTGACCCGACAACTCCTTCGTGTGCGATGACGGTTGATGGCAAGCCTTGCGAGTCGACCGTCGATTTTGTCCTGCTGTATCGTCATTTGGATGCGGCAGTGCTGAGTGTAGACACGGATCTGGACACTACCCTGAAGCCCCACAGGCCCGCGGTCTTCCAGATAGGTACGAACACCAAGGGCATCTCCCGCCAGGTCCCCAAGGCTTCCCAGAAGATCCCCACGAAGCCCCTCATAGGCCCACGACGGCGGCATCCGAACTATGATGTGGCTCTGGGAGTGCTTGAAGATTTTCACGGTCGTCTCGGAGGGGTGGATGCGGCACATGTTACTCTTGAAGGTGACCTCCGAGCTGAAGGAATCCAGATCCTTGACCAAGCGTACAAGACGTGGAATGAACTGGCTCGGCAGGAGCTCAAGCAAGTCACAGGTACCAACCCCACAGGAGTGCACGGCGGCTACCCCATGGAGTGGGAGGAGAGGCCGCTGCCCGCAGTCTTGGCGACCAAGACCCGTTCCTTTCCTCAGCCACCTCGCGCCATTGGATGGGCAGTGGGCAGGCTAACGGAAATTCAAAGTCTACTTAACCAGGGCAGGACTCCAGGGACAAACGCCTACCTGGGGACTTTGGTCATGCAGTTAGTCAATATTTCTAGTTCTGGAGGTCCATTCAGATCAGCTTGGAAGGACGAGGGTGGTTTCTGGCACCCTATTCTTCGGAGTTTGGGGGTTTTCCTCATGGTGGACACAGATGGGGCCCACAATGTCCTCACAGATACGCTCCAGTTCGTCGAGGATTTCAAAAACTGCGCGTTCTTGTCTGGGGGGCAGCCCGATTGGGCAGGCTGGAAGGAGTGGTGCCAACAAGCTGTTGAGGAGCATGGGGCTCGAAAGGCTCACAGGTTCCTCAATGGTGTCGAAGTCCCTAAGGCCCATCCAAGGCCACCAGGTCGAGCCACGGAGGCTGAGATCAAGCAGCTCCTACACAGTATCTCTATTCGGGCCCGTTTGGAAAACCAAAGAGAGTTGTGGAAAGAAATCTGGTCGGCATCGGATCAACCACACGCCCCTTTCGAGTTTGTCCAAGGCGGAATACCAGTAGGAAAGCGTGCTCAGGTGGACACCATCCGTGGGAGTTCGCGGAGTTTCAAGGACGCCACTTGCACGCCAGATGGTTGGCACCCAAAGCACCTCTCGCTCCTCTGCGATGACGGCTTCCTGGTGGCGTCGCTCCTCTTTCAATTGATGCAGGTCACGTGTGTTGCTCCAAATCAGGTGCAACGGCTCGTTGTATTGCTAGCTCCCAAGCCTGACCCCACGGCCAGGCGACCTCTTGGGCACTTTGGAGGGTTCGTCCGTGTCTTTGGCAAGATCCAGAAGCAAGCTGCCAAGAAGTGGGAACTTGAGTTTGGGATGGGTTCTGGCTACTCCATGGCTCCAAGAAGGCCCCCCTCGGACACCGTCTGGAGACAGGCTGTCATTGCAGAGAACCAAGGGAACTCAGGAGGCTTCTCGTTGCAGGTCCTGTGGGATATCAAGCAGTTTTATGAACATGTCACTTATGATATATTGGTTCGATCTGCCCAGTATTGCAAGTACCCTCTGTTTCTGCTGCAGTTTGCCATAGGGACCTACCAATGGCCCAGGCATCTGATGCTGGAAGGTCTAATGGACGCGGCACCGTACCCAGGCCGCGGGATCGTAGCCGGCTCCACGACGGCTACCTATGAGGCAAAAGTCTTCCTCAAGCCAGGTGTGGACCGATTCACCACCAATATGTCAGATAGTGCCTCCCTCTCCCTCCACGTAGACGACCATACTTTCCAGCAGTGGGGTGACTGTATGGGGTGGGTGGTGGGGGCACTCAAAGAGTTGGCTGAATCGGTCCGGTCGTATCTAGAGAATGAGTTGCAGCTCCCGCTTGCCTACCACAAGTTTGGCATCGCTTCGTCGTCGGGCCCTCTTCTCAAACTGGGTCGAGTTGCTCTTGGGGATCTGGCTGGAGCTCCTGATGACGGGGATGTCACGAACCTTGGCGTGGACTTCTCGGGAGGCCAACACAGACTCAGAAAGGGCGCCAGGAGGACTCGAACCAAGCGGTGGATCAAATATGGGGCTCGGAGGCGTAGGATGACTAGGCTCAAGATCAAGTCGGGGCACAAGAACAGACTGTTCCAGACTAACTTGAAGGCCGCGCCCACGTACGGGGCTGATGTTCACGCCTTCAGCCCACACCAGGTTAAAGAAATCAGGGCCTCTGCTGGGAAAGATTCTGGGGTTATGTTCAAAGGGGCACAAGTGGACCTCGGACGGGCTCTTTCGTCGTACTTGGACCCGATCGACATAGCGAGTAGGAGTATAGCCAGGGTAGCTGCAGAATGGTGGATGACGACGGCCTTCCACAAGAATGAGCATGTCCACAGCGATGTGCTGAAGGCCGCGCTGCTCAGTCAAGCCTCACATGCTGCTGCCCGCCGCCTCGAGGAGACGAAGGGTAAAAATTGGTTCTTCCGATCCCGAGGACCAATGACCGATGCCCTTCTGTGGCGCGAGGAAGCTGGTTGGAAAATGTTGAGCCCTGGGATTCTCCAGGACGCCATCGGAGTCACCCTGAATTTCACTGAGGTGAGCCCAGCTCTGGTGGCCAAAAGGTTCGCCTACCAGCTTAAAGACACCTGTGTCCAGAAATATGTTCGAGGAGTTTGCGCGAAAACGATTTTGACACTCAGGACCTTGAGACCCGAGGACTGTGGTGGGAACTCATCAAGCAGAAGATGAACTCCACCAAGCTAGACCTGACGCTGGTAGAAAAGCTCAGAGTGAAGCAGTTGTTTTGCGGAACCCTCCCGACGGGCGAGGCCCTGGCGAGGTGGGGTTACAACTATAGCTCTGTATGTAGTAGATGTGGCAAGCCCGACACAGCGTGGCACCGCGTTTGGTCCTGCTCTTGCCCTGTTGCGTCAGCTGTCCGAAGTGAGGTTTTCCCTGAGACGTTAATTCAGCAAGCCCTGGAAGATGGCCCTGGGTCTCTCCTGTTTAGCCGTGCTTGGGTTGCCAGGCCAGATCTTTCAAAGGAGCCCCCTGCCCAGGACTGGGTCCAGGATTTGAAGTTTTTTGGCTCTGGGGGTGAGGACGTCCCGCCGTTCGATTTCCCACCAGGGGCTGAGCTTTTCACTGATGGATCGCGTTTGTTCCCCCAGCTCAAGCCTTGCTCCAGGGCTGGGTGTTCAGTTGTCCAAGTGAATGAATGTGGGGACCTGGTCAGAGGTATTAGATCCCCTGTCCCAGGTACGATGGAACAGCCCAGTGGCTCTGCAGAACACTGTGCCATCATGCTAGCTACCACCTACTCGGCTGATCAATGTCAGACGGGTGCTCTTTATGTTGATTACGCGACCCTCCTGAAAGCTGAGAGGGCCCACCAGTGGGCCCTGTCTGGGGCCAACCCGATGGCCCATGTCTGGCGGGAAGTGGCCCGCAGGCTCCCTGGGGACCCACCTCGGCTCTCCAAGGTCAAGGCCCATAGGGCCGAGGAGGATGTCGCTGCTGACCAGGTTTATTATGTGCGAGGTAATAAGCTTGCTGATCACCATGCGGGGCTCGCTGCTCGGGCCCATGGTTTCAGCAACAATGTTTCAGAAGAGTGCAAGACCACTCCCAGATTGTACACTACCTTAATTCACGGCATGGGTAAAGTGCTTGCGGAGTGGCCTACCTTCGGGGAGCTGGGTGAGCTGGGTCGGGTTCGGGTGGGTCCAAAGGCCACTCCCAAGCCACATACCCCTCATGAGCCCGTCTTCCATGACGGGAAGAGAAGATGTAACCTTTGCTTCAGATATCTCGGCCGCAAGGCGGTTCCCAGCCCGAACTGTAATGGCTTGAACCCGTCGCTTGCCAGTTTTTTGGACGGGCCGAGGAACCACCACAACCTCCACGTGGCTTGGGTCGAGAGCTCTGGGTTGCCTGTGGTGCATTGCATTCGGTGCGGTGCTTTCACCACGTGCAAAGCGGGCCCTAAACTGGGTGGACTGTGCGACGGGAGAGTTTCGTCTAAAAGTAGGAAACTCAAACGAAGGATCCTACCAGGAACAGACCTTACTATAACCAACTCCGTAGCTCTCCCACCCCGAGGCCGTGGACGCAGGGAGGTGAGGAGACCTACGTAACCTTTTTTTTCTTGTGAGTGTACTATGCTTGTACGGTACACCACCATTTTGAGTAACTGAGTAACTGAGGAGGGAGGGAGGGGAGGAAGGGAGGGGGAGGCAGGGAGCGACGGGGGAGGCCCCCCTGCCCCTCGCCCCCGGCCCCCCTCCACGCGGCCGCCGCGGTGTCCGGGCGGCCAGGCGCTCACGGCGCACGCCCTCGGGGACCCGTCGGCGCAGGAGGGCGCGGAGGCTCGCGCGGGGGGGCGGGCGGCGGGCGCCCTCGCGCGCGCGGGCGGCGCCGCGGCGGCCCTGCGCGCGGCCCTCGCCCCGCGCGCGGCCTCCCTCGCTCGAGGCTCGCTCGCTCTCGCGGGGGCTGCGGCGCCGAGGCCCGCTCCGCTCGCTCGCGGGCGGAGGAGCAGTGGGGGAGCAAGCACACATCAGGAGGGGAAAAAACACACAGACACAATTAATCGTCGATTCCCAGGAAAGTATAGGAAAATATGGGCATTGGGGGGGGAGGACAAAAACTCGTAAAATGTAGGAAAATATTAGATTTTGTTGTATTTGTGTGTATTTCTCTGTGTGTCCCAGGGCCCCTTCACATCGGCACGAACGAAATGGGTACGGAAAGAATGGGTACAATGCCCAACAGCAGCTCCTGCTCATGTTGAACCGGACTCACCGTCGGCGCCGCCACGGCCTGTGCCCATTGGAGACAGAAGGCCGCCTGCCCAACAGCGGCCGCTCTTGGTTTGGGACAACATTTGTGGTTGGGCATTGAAACCATTCTTTCCGTACCCATTTCGGGCGCCCAAAACACAGGCACAAAGAATCGTCGATGCCCATGGCAGTATGGGGAAATGTGGGAAGTGGAGGAGGGGAAGACGCAGACCCAGAAAATACTTGAAGCGTAGGGAATCCTGGGACGTGTGTGTGTGTGTGCGAGAGACTGTGTATGCGTGCGTGTGTGTATGTGTATAAGTGTACACATGCAAGTGTAAGTGTAAGCATAAGTGTACGTGTAGGTGTAAGCGTAAGTGTAAGTGTGAGTTTGAGAGTGAGTGTAAGTGTTTAGCGTGTAGTGTGTTAGTGTGTGTATGTGTATCTGTGCACGTGCGCAAATATGT